GCTGGGATTACAGGCACGCACCACCATGCCCAGCTAATTTTTTGTATTTTTTGTAGAGACGGGGTTTCACCGTGTTGACCAGGATAGTCTCGATCTCTTGACCTCGTGATCCACCCGCCTCGGCCTCCCAAAGTGCTGGGATTACAGGCTTGAGCCACCGTGCCCGGCCTCTATAAGTTTTGATAAATGTTACCTTTATGTTACATAAAATACATTTGTATGTATTTTATGGTATAAATTTAAAAAAATCTAGTATCCACATACATTTTATGTATTCATGACATATCTAACATTTTCTACAGACTCTGGATGATAATGATGTGTCAATGCAGACCCACTGATTGTGGGGGATGCTGGTAATGGAGGAGGTTGTCTGAGGAGGGGGTATACGGAGAATCTCTGTACTTTCTTCTCAATTTTGCTATGAAGCTAAAAATGCTTGAAAAAACAAAGTTCATAATTTCTTTCTAAATGCAAGCAAGTATGGCTTAAATTAATTCAAATGGTAAACTCTTCCAAATTACTAAGATTTCTCTTTCCCTAAGATATTTCTCTCACCAACCTCAGCTTCTTTTTTCTTCGCACGAACTTTTTCCACTTCCATAAGAATCTTCTGGGATTCATCCACATTACCTTCAGCCCCTAGCTGTTCGGCTTTAGCAAGGAGTTTTCCTATTTCTTCATTTAACTCATGTACTTTTTCTGCCTGTGAGGAGAAAGAATCAGGTAAGCAGACATCTAAAAATGAAAGTGAATGCAAAGGAAACAAGGGTTTCTCCTGCATTTCTGCTCCATTTCCAGTCTGTTCTACTGAAAATAAATGGACCATCTAAAGATCCACACTTATGGCCGGGCGTGGTGGCTCATGCCCATAATCCCAGCACTTTGGGAGGCCGAGGCAAGCAGATCACCTAAGGTCAGGAGTTCAAGGGCAGCCTGGCCAACAAGGTGGAACCCCATCTCTACTAAAAATACAAAAATCAGCCAGGCATGGTGGTACGTACCTGTAATCCTACCTAAACGTGAGGCTGAAGCAGAAGAATCACTTGAACCTGGGAGGCGGAGGTAGCAGTGAGCTGAGGTCCAGCTACTGCATTCCAGCCTGCGCGACAGAGCGAGACTTCGTCTTTAAAAAAAAAAAAAAAAAAAAGGCCGAGCGTGGTGGCTCACGCCTGTAATCCAAGCACTTTGGGAGGCCGAGGCGGGTGGATCACGAGGTCAAGAGATCGAGACCATCCTGGTCAACATGGTGAAACCCCATCTCTACTAAAAATACAAAAAATTAGCTGGGCATGGTGGCGTGTGCCTGTAATCCCAGCTACTCAGGAGGCTGAGGCAGGAGAACTGCCTGAACCCAGGAGGCGGAGGTTGCGGTGAGCCGAGATCGCGCCATTGCACTCCAGCCTGGGTAAAAAGAGAAAAACTCCATCTCAAAAAAAAAAAAAAAAAAAAAAAGACAATAATTTTTTTTTTTTTCATTTGAGGCAGAGTCTCACTCTGTCATCCAGGCTGGAGTACAGTAGCTTCATCATAGCTCACCGAAACCTCAGCCTCCCCAGGCTCAAGTGATCTTTCCACCTGAGCCTCCTGAAGCACTGGGGTACACATGCGCACCACCAAGCCTAGCTAATATTTGTATTTTTTGTAGATAGGGTTTCGTCATGTTGCCCAGGCTGGTCTAGAACTCCTGTGCTTAAGTAATCTGCCCCACCTGGGTCTCCCAAACTGCTAGGATTATAGGCGTGAGCCACCAAACTCAACAAATATTACATTCAAGTTTTAAAAATAATAATAATAAAACCATGTACAGAGGAGGAAAATGGACAGAAGAAGAAGACAGAGGCAGCAGCTCCTGAGGGATGAGAATGACACATGAATGCCTGATTACAGCCCTCTGTCCTTAACTGGAATAAGGCAGAGAATACTGAGTTAGTGTCCACTCAATCAGGGCTGAGGGTGAGTTAACAGCTACTGACAACCCAGTATTTGCAAGAACATAATGGGTAGCAAAGTCACCGTCACCCAAGCATACCTTTGCAGAAACTTCTGCACTGATCTCCTCCTGTGTTTCTGCCAGTCGTTTCTTGGCAAGCTCAGTTCTCCGATCACATTCCGCAATAAAGGACTCCAAGTGATCCATTGCCTAGCATGGGAAAAGCAGCTATCATCAATTATGTGTAAAGCAAAAAGTCCTGGAACCCATTTGCTTGATAGGAAACACACTCCTGGTTTCCTTTCTTTAACGCCTGTAGATTAAATGGGAACATCTGAAACTACACTATTCTAACACATTCATAATCACATTAAATCAAGGGGATCTGTTAAACAGAATGAATGATTGGAAGCATGGTCTTCTCATTTAATTTAAAATTTCCAAAATTTGTAAAAGGACTTCAATCCTCAATAACATTACAAAGAAATTTTGAGGAAAATTAAAACACTTTGCAGCAATTCAGAGCGTTCTCGGAGGGACAGATAAGGCTGAGCCTAGACTAGTGCGGAAGGCCCTCTTCCGGGGAGTCGTGGGAGATGTGTATGATGTACTCACTGGTCTTTGTGAGCCACGTAAATATTATTCCCTCATGTTCTGAGGGTAGGGTCCCCCCTTTCACCTCAAAAACAAAACAACAGAACAAACATTACTGAGAGCTATGAATACATTTCGTTATTGTCTACTGTCTAAAGTAGCAGGAAAACCTGGTTGCTATTTACCCAAAGAGATGAAGGAAAAGAAACTGAGACGTCTAAGTGCTAACCCTGAAAAGGGATGGTAGGAAACAATAAGAGAACTATCATATGCTAAAGTTAATTCACCATAACTAGGCAAAGGCCAACATAATTTCAGATAAAAATACAGACGGGGGGGCCGGGCGCGGTGGCTCAAGCCTGTAATCCCAGCACTTTGGGAGGCCGAGGCGGGTGGATCACGAGGTCAAGAGATCTAGACCATCCTGGTCAACATGGTGAAACCCCGTCTCTACTAAAAATACAAAAAATTAGCTGGGCATGGTGGCACGTGCCTGTAATCCCAGCTACTCAGGAGGCTGAGGCAGGAGAATTGCCTGAACCCAGGAGGCGGAGGTTGCGGTGAGCCGAGATCGCGCCGTTGCACTCCAGCCTGGGTAACAAGAGTGAAACTCCGTCTCAAAAAAAAAATAAATAAAATAAAAATAAATAAATAAATAAATAAATACAGACGGGGCCAAGTGCAGTGGCTCACACCTGTAATACCAGCACTTTTGGAGGCTGAGGTACACAGATCACCTGAGGTCAGGAGTTCGAGACCAGCCTGGCCAACGTGGTAAAACCCTGTCTCTTAATAAAAATGCAAAAATTAACCAGGCGTGGTGGCAGGTGCCTGTAATCCCAGCTACTCGGGAGGCTGAGGCAGAAGAACCACTAGAGCCTAGGAGGCAGAAGTTGCAGTGAGCCGAGACTGTGTCACTGTACTCCAGCTTGGGCAACAGAGCAAGACTTTGTATCCAAAAAAAAAAAAAAAAAACCCGTCTCTACTAAAAATACGAACATTAGCCAGGCATGGTGGTGCGCACCTATGTCGCAGCTACTCAGGAGATTGAGGCAGAAGAATCCCTTGAACTCAGAGGTTGCAGTGAGCTGAGATGGGGCCACTATACTCCAGCCTGGGCGACAGAGCAATACTGAGTCTCAAAAAAAAAAAAGAAAAAAGAAAAAAAAATACAGACAGGGCCTCACTTTTCCAACTGTCAACCACTGACCAGGTACGAAACACTTAACATTATACTATAAGTCAGCTTTCTAATGTTAGCATCAGGTTAAATGCAAGTAAGTTTGTTCTGCAATAAGGACAGGTTTAGACAGCACAATCTTTTACCAAAAACAAAATTTTAGGTAGAGATGAGACGGCAGATGACGGAAAAACACTAAGGGGTGATAAACTGTGTCACTACTCCTAAAATGGACAGGGGAGTAGGTAATCTGTAATAAACTGCTCCACAAAGATCTGGCATGGATCAAAGACACTGGAGTTTATAATCTTGTCTAGAAATCTTACATTATTTTTTTCAAAAACATGCATATTTGGGAGTAGGTCAAGACAGGGAGCTCCAGGTCTCCTGGTGCTCAGTCTCCTAGGAAGCTGGAGAAAGGACAACCAGCATCATTCATGAAGGCTGACTCCTAGATATCACTCCATAATTTTGGAATTCAAAAACTGCCTCTTGGCCAGGCACAGTAGCTCATGCCTGTAATCCCAGAACTTTGGGAGGCCGAGGCAGAAGAGTCACTTGAACCTGGAGGCAGAAGTTGCAGTGAGCTGAAATCATGCTACCGCATTCCAGCCTGGGCAAAAAAATAACAAACTGCCTCTTGTTGGTTACCCAGATATTCTCCAGTAAACATTTTAGAAAGCAAATGATCTGGCATTTGACGGCTTATATGCACCTGCACATTGGACTTGCCGGAAAGATGAAGAGCTGGCTGGAGCTCATCAGGATCCAAGGACTAAGGAGCTGATAATGGTCACTTAGCCTTCTCTTCTGTGCCTACCTCAGACAACAGCCCCTAACAGACCAGTCTGAGATGCCCCAGGTTCACCCACACAGTGGCTCTCTACTGTCTGCCCAAGCAGAGCGATCACCCACTCACCTGAGAAAGACTCAGGAATTCACTCATGAGGGGTCAAACAGGAAACAGATAGCTGACAACTCTGCCAATACCTTAACCAATCAAAGCCATTACCTGCACCTTAGGCAGAATCCAAATGGGCTATGGGCTCAGATGTCTGATAACCTAAAAACTAAATGGTAGCCGGGCGCGGTGGCTCAAGCCTGTAATCCCAGCACTTTGGGAGGCCGAGGCGGGTGGATCACAAGGTCAAGAGATCGAGACCATCCTGGTCAACATGGTGAAACCCCGTCTCTACTAAAGCTACAAAAAATTAGCTGGGCATGGTGGTGCGTGCCTGTAATCCCAGTTACTCAGGAGGCTGAGGGAGGAGAATTGCTTGAACCCAGGAGGCGGAGGTTGCGGTGAGCCGAGATCGCGCCATTGCACTCCAGCCTGGGTAACAAGAGCGAAACTCCGTCTCAAAAAAAAAAAAAAAAAAAACAAAACTAAATGGTAGGCCAGGTTCAGCACTTTGGGAGGCCAACATGGATGGATCACCTGAGGTCACCAGCCTGGCCAACAGGGTGAAACGCGTCTCTACTAAAAATGTGAAAAAGAATGGCCAGGCACAGTGGCTCACACGTGTAATTCCAGCATTTGGGAGGTCAAGGTGGGCGGATCACAAGGTCAGGAGTTTGAGGCTAGCCTGATCAAGATGGTGAAACCCTGTCTCCACTAAAAATACAAAAATTAGCCTGGCATGGTAGCAGGCACCTGTAATCCCAGCTACTCCAGAGGCTGAGGCAGAAGAATCACCTGAACCTGGGAGGTGGAGGTTGCAGGGAACCAACACCATGCCATTGCAGTCCAGCCTGAGGGACAGAACAAGACTCTGTCTCAAAAAAAAAAGGGTGGGCGCAGTGGCTCACGCCTGTAATCCCAGCACTTTAGGAGGCTGAGGCTGGCAGATCATGAGGTCAGGAGTTCGAGACTAGCCTGGCCAAAACAGTGAAACCCTATCTTTACTAAAAATACAAAAAATTAGTTGGGTGTGGTGGCGGGCGCCTGTAATCTCAGTTACTTGGGAGGCTGAGGCAGGAGAATTGCTTGAACCCAGGAGGCGGAGAATGCAGTGAGGCCGTTGTACCATTGTACTCCAGCCCAGGGAACAGTGTGAGACACTGTCTCAAGAAAAAAAAAAAAAAAAAAGTCAACCCAACCTCTGTATCTTTCAGGGTGGTGCTATGAAACATGAGTCCTAAAAGCACCTAAGCATGACAGCACCAGCACAAAGGCCTCAGTGTCTTCATATTATGGCAAAATTGGGCAGTATTAGCAACTGTCATCTCCGCTGAGGACGTTGTCCCTCCACACTGCCTGGTACCATGCCCAGCTCTCCCAGTCCAGCAGCAATGACACAAGCCAGAGATCACTGAGCCCAATAAGCCCACGCCGTCAGTCAGAACTGTCACAGCAAACAGGTGCCCCTGTGCTGCACTCTGCGCGTGCACCACACACCTCAAAACAGCCACAGAGGAACTTGCTGGATCTCTATTGCACAGATGAAACTGAAGTACAGGCCGGGCGTGATGGCTCATGCTTGTAATCCAAGCACTTTGGAGGCCAAGGCGGGCGGATCACCTGAGGTCGGGAGTTCAAGACCAGCCTGACCAACATGGTGAAACCCCGTCTTTAAAAAAAAAAAAGAAACTGAAGTATAGCTGCCGAACTACTCAGTGAGCAATGGACTCAGGATGCAAGGACCCTTGTGGTCTGGCTCCAAAGACCTTACACTTCATCCTCACAAACCTGAGGCAGCCATCGTCAGCCCAGTTTGGAGAGACTAGAAGACAGTGAAATAACTTGCTCAGGGTCACACAGGGACTCTAACCCAAGATACTTGACCTAGAAAAATCTATTACACTGGACATCTGTAAGACAGAAAAACTACATAGAGTCGGAACTGGTCTCATATGGTATGCTAAAAACAGCTTTGAAATGAGCCCATATGTGTTGTTCTGAAAATGTGTCACAACATCACATAGCCAGACAGCATGCGGGAAAAGGTTAATTACACTTTTGCTGAATTACAAAAATACATTCATTGTATTTTCAACATGTGAACACTAAAGAAATATACCTTTTTGAATTTTTTTTCCCTTTTTATTCCAGAGAGGATCTTGCTCTATCACCCAGGCTAGAATGCAGTGGCACAATCATTGCTCACTTTAGCCTCTCACGCTCAAGCCATCCTTCCACCTCAGCCTCCCAAGTAGGTAGAAATATAGGAACACGTCACTACGCCCAGCTAAAATTTCTGATCCTGTAGAGACTTTGCCCAGGCTGATCGTGAACTCCTGGGTTCAAGCAATCTTCCTGTCTCCACCTCCAGAAGTAATGGGATTATGGGTGTGAGCAAACACCTGGCCATCTGTAACTTTTTCAGAGCTTAATTTGATTAACATTGCTGTTTGATAAACTTATAGATTACCTTATAACAAATATAGCACACAGCCTTTCCTAGGCAATTTCCAGATAAAACAAATAAAGGCCTGGCTCTGTTGTGGTCAGGCTGAGGCTGAATCAGGCTGGAAGGAGCCAAAGATGGAGATATGGGCTGGACGAGGTGGCTCAAGCCTGTAATCCCAGCACTTTGGGAGGCCGAGGCGGGTGGATCACGAGGTCAAGAGATCGAGACCATCCTGGTCAACATGGTGAAACCCCGTCTCTACTGAAAATACAAAAAATTAGCTGGGCATGGTGGCACGTGCCTGTAATCCCAGCTACTCAGGAGGCTGAGGCAGAATTGCCTGAACCCAGGAGGCGGAGGTTGCGGTGAGCCGAGATGGCGCCATTGCACTCCAGCCTGGGTAACATGAGTGAAACTCCGTCTCAAAAAAAAAAAAAAATATGGAGATATGGAGGCATCTTCTCCCAGGTGAAACAACTGAGTTCCGGGAGGATGCCTGGTAGAAATGTGCCAGGAGTCCCACCCATCAAGCTTATTGTGATGGTCTAGGCAGAAAATCAAGGCCCACAAATGTCTGTTTTTTTCTAAGGGGGAGGGACGTGAGGGGGAGACACAGTCTCACTTTGTCACCCAGGCTAGAGTGTAGTGGCACCATCTGAGCTCACTGCAACCTCTGCCTCCTGGGTTCAGCAGTGCTCGTGCCTCAGCCACCCAAGTAGCTGGTATTATAGCCATGCACCACCACACCTAGCTACCTTTTGTGTTTTTAGCAGAGATGGAGTTTTGCCATGTTGGCCAGGCTGGTCTCAAACTCCAGGCTTCAAGTGATCCACCTGCCGTGGCCTGCCAAGGTGCTGGGATTACATGAGCCACTGCCCCCAGCTTATAAATATCTTTTTTTTTTTTTTCACCTCTGATTGGCAGAACCAAAAGTTTGGTAACTCGTTGTTAGCACAGACATTAAAGAAAAATGGGCCAGGTGCAGTGGTGCATGCCTGTAATCCCAGCACTTTGGGAGGCCAAGGTGGGCGGATCACAAGGTCATGAGATCAAGACCATCCTGCCAGCATGGTAAAACCCTGTCTCTACTAAAAATACAAAAATTAGCTGGGCATGGTGGTGCACGTCTGTAATCCTGGCTACTTGGGAGGCTGAGGAAGGAGAACTGCTTAAACCGGTGTGGATCACAAGGTCAGGAGATCAAGACCATCCTGGCCAATATGGTAAAACCCTGTCTCTACTAAAAAAACAAAAATTAACTGGGCACGGTAGCACGTGCCTGTAGTCCTAGCTACTCCAGAGGCTGAGACAAGAGAAACACTTGAACCCAGGAGATGGAGCCTGCACTGAGCCAAGATCACGCCACTGCAATCGAACCTGGTGACAGAGAGAGACTCCATCTCCCCGTACCGCACCCCCCCCAAAAAAAAAAAAGAAAAAATCATGTATTCTTGATGGGGGCAGGAGTGAACACTAATTTTAAAGAGTAAAAAAATACCATATATTACAATGGTCTACGGCCCAGAAAAAAAATCACAGTACATAAACAAATATGCAGGTTGTTCCTTTAGGAATGCAGTGGGCCTCTGATTAAAAAAAAAGAAAGAAAAAAAAAGGCCGGGCGCGGTGGCTCAAGCCTGTAATCCCAGCAGTTCGGGAGGCCGAGGCGGGTGGATCACGAGGTCAAGAGATCGAGACCATCCTGGTCAACATGGTGAAACCCCGTCTCTACTAAAAATACAAAAAAAACATTAGCTGGGCATGGTGGCGCGTGCCTGTAATCCCAGCTACTGAGGAGGCTGAGGCAGGAGAATTGCCTGAACCCAGGAGGCGGAGGTTGCGGTGAGCCAAGATCACGCAATTGCACTCCAGCCTGGGTAACAAGAGTGAAACTCCATCTCAAAAAAAATAAAAAAAATAAAAATAAAAATAAAATATATATATGTGTATTTTTTAAACATATACATATATATACATGTTTTATATATATACACACAGACAGGTTGTCTGCGACGTCTGTGACATCAAAATTTCATAGGGTGAAGGGTGAGACGGGACAATTAGAAGAGGAAGTTTAAAAAGGCTCCCCTGGGAGCGACAATGAAAAAAAGCTGAAAATGCTACTCTAAATGGATTCACCGGCCAGGCACAGTGGCTCACACCGGAAATCCCAACACTTTTGAGAGTCTGAGGTGGCAGGGCCGCTTAAGGCCAAGAGTTTGAGACCAGCCTAGGCAACAGAACAAGACCCTGTCACTACAAAAAAAAAAAATAGCCAGGTGTGGTGGCACACACCCATACCCCCAACTGTTCAGGAGCCTGAGACAGAGGTATCACTGAGCCCAAGAGTTCAAGGTTACAGCAAGCCACGATCACGCCAATTCCTTCCAGCCTGTGTGACAGAACAAGACCCTGTCTCAAAATTTAAATAAATAAATAAGCAATTAGCCACAAATGGTCATGTCCATCTGTAGTTGCAGCTATTCGGGAGGCTGAGGAAGGAGGATCACCTGAGCCCAGGAATTCAATTACAGTCAGCAACAGAGTGAAACCCTATCTCAAAAAACAAAGGGATCTACTAATGGAGGTAAAACATCACAACTACCGAATACTAAGAAATGCAAATTAAGACCATAATGAAATGCCATTTTACAACCACCAAACTGCAAACCTTAAATAGTCTGATAATACAAAGCATTGGTTAAGGTGTACACACTGCTATGGGGTGAAAATTTACAGAGACTTTATCAAACATAAACAAGAAGAAAACACTACAACACTGTCCTGCAAGGCTGAATGTGGGTATCCCCCACAAACCAGCAACTCCTCTCCTAGGAATATACCCAAGATAAATCTGTATACACATGACAAAGGTATTCAAAAATATTCATATCGTCTGCAATAGCAAAACTAGACTCAATCTAAAGTCTATGAATAAAGAAAGGACTGTTTGAGAATTATTCAAGCAGCAATGAAAACAAACAACATGTAACAACCTGGGTAAACAGAAACATAATACTGAACTAAAATAAACACTCTACACTATGAAACCACTTTTATAAATCTCAAAACTAAGCAAGAACAAACACTGTTCAAGGACTCATAAAAATGTAACAAATATTTAAAGCAACAAAATGAGATGATACATACTAACGTTCATGACAGTGTTGGACAGCAGACACACAGATGTAGACAGTGCTGGCTGTTCTAGCTCTCAGCTTGAGTGGCAGGATAACAAGTATCAACTTTATTATTTTGCTTCATAACTTACGTAGGTTACATTATTCTTGTTAGTTCAATATTGGGTTCTTCGCAGTACAGTAGGAATAAATCGACACTAAATAAAACTTACATCCAATTCAAAAAACAGGTCTCTTTCTTTACTTGCAATCTCATAATCTGCTCGGAGGGCCAAGTCGTGGATTTTGGTACATTCTCCTAAATCCATGCGCTGTAGAAAGGAAACAAAAAATACATGAGTGCCTACCTACAGTAGAAAGCACATAACAGGACTTGGTTTTTCAACTGTCACCAAAATAAAACGATCATTTTTTTGGAATACTGAAACTATAATAAGAAAATTAAGAAAGGGGATATGGCTAAGCCTCATTTCACTTTTACCATCGTGACTACATGATACCTGAAACTGATGCATTTAATTGCGTAAGGTTTCTATTTCTTTTCGACCCAAAGATAACTGGACTGTAATCAAGACAACTAAATGAACTGGCTTTTGCCAGTTCTTTTTTTCTTTTTTTTTTTTGAAATGGAGTCTCACTCTGTCACCTACGTTGGAGTTCAGTGGCGTGATCTCAGCTCACTGCAACCTCTGCCTCCCAGGTTCAACCAATTCTCCTGCCTCATACTCACAAGTAGCTGGGAGGATTACAAGCTCCAGGCACCATGCCCAGCTAATTTTTTTTTATTTTTAGTACAGATGGGGTTTCATAACATTGGCCAGGCTGGTCTCGAACTTCTGACCTCAAGTAATCCACCCACCTTAGCCTCCCAAAGTGCTGGCATTATAGACATAAGCCGCCACATCGGGCCCAGTTTTATTTTTGCATCAGTCCAAGGATTCAGTAAATGGTAGCATGTGGGATGGTGAGGATAGAAAAGAGCCAGGGCCGGGCACAGTGGCTCACTTCTGTAATCCCAGCACTTTGGGAGGCTGAGGCTGGAGGATCACTTAAGGTCAGGAGTTCAAGACCAGCCTCGCCAACATGATAAAACCAAGTCTCCACTAAAAATTTAAGAATTAGCCAGGTGTAGCCGGGCGCGGTGGCTCAAGCCTGTAACCCCAGCACTTTGGGAGGCCGAGGCGGGTGGATCATGAGGTCAAGAGATCGAGACCATCCTGGCCAACATGGTGAAACCCCGTCTCTACTAAAAATACAAAAACTAGCTGGGCGCGGTGGCGTGCGCCTGTAGTCCCAGCTACTCGGGAGGCTGAGGCAGGAGAATTGCTTGAACCCTGGAGGCGGGGGTTGCAGTGAGCCGAGATTGTGCCACTGCACTCCAGCCTAGCGCCTGGCAACAGAGACTCTGTCTCAAAAAAAAAAAAAAAAAAAAAAAAATTAGCCAGGTGTGGTGGTGGGCACCTGTAATCCCAGCTACTCAGGAAGCTGAGGCACAAGAATCGCTTGACCTTGCAAGGTGGAGGCTGCAGTGAGTAGAGAACGCACCACTGTACTCCAGCCTGGCAATAAGAGCCAGACTCTGCCTCAGAAAAGAAACAAAAGGTAAAGGGCCAGAAAACAGTCTCACTGCAACAAGTCTGTAGGCATTCTGTCTTGCAATCTTGACTACTCGAGATGCTTGATGCCTAAGATGCAGAGACAGAGGAAAAGGAAAGAGCAGACGGAAGTTAGGTTTTGGAAATTATATCACAAACTAACACTTGGCTTTGTGGAGCCGATTGTCTTATCAAAGGGAATAAAGCAGAATAGCCTGGTTCATAGCCAAATGAATCCTCTACACATTCTCCTAACCTGGGAAACCCTGAACTTATATAAAAGTAGGGACAGATATTTGTCCCACTCAGTTCCCCTGTTTGACAAACAAAATGTTCCTTTACTAAAACAAAATGACCTATGTTGTAAGGTTAGCGTGATGTGCTATCATGTGTACCACATGCAGTACAATTAGACAACACTGTATGATTTTAATCTAAATCCTAAGTATAGGACTCTATGCAGACACCTTCTGCTTCTGGCCAAATCTACACAGCAATAGGGAAGTTTGTGGGCTGAGGATCATGGTGTCAAGTTATTAAAGTGCATGTTAACAAAACCCAGCATCCCAATTAGGAGACACCACCAATAGGAAAAATGAACATGTCTACATAACCAGGAAGGAAAGAAAAAAAAAAATGATGTTGGGACCAGTTGCGGTAGCACATGTCTGCAACCTGAACACCGGGAGGGCAAGGTGGGGAGATCACTTGAACCCAGGAGTTTGATGTCAGCCTGGGCAACATAGTGAGACCATCTCTATGAAAAAATTAAAAATTTGGCCGAGCAACCAGGGGCAGTGGTTCAAGCCTATAATCCCAACACTTTGGGAGGCCGAGACAGGCGTATGACTTGAGGTCAGGAGTTCAAGATCAGCCTGGCCAACATGGTGAATCTCCGTCTCTACTAAAATACTAAAAATAGCCGGGCATGATGGCGAGTGCCTGTAATCCCAGCCACTCAGGAGTCTGAGACAGGAGAATCACTTGAACCCGGGAGACAGTGGTTGCTGTGAGCCGAGATCACGCCACTGCACTCCAGCCTGGGTAAAAAAAAAAAAAAAAAAAAAAATTGGCCGAGCGAAGTGGCTCACAGTCGTCATCCCAGCACTTTGGGAGGCCAAGGAGGGCATATCAGGAGGTCAGGAGCTCAAGACCACCCTGTCCAATATGGAGAAACCCCGTTTTTACTAAAATACAAACTTAGCCAGGCATGCTAACATATGCCTATAATCCCAGCTACTGGGGAGGCTGAGGCAGGAGCCTCAGGGGAGGTAGAGGTTGTGGTGAACCGAGATCATGACACTGCACTCCACTCTAAGCAAAAAGAGTAAAACTGTCTCCCAAAAAAAAGTGGGGGGGCCGGGCGTGGTGGCTCATTCCTGTAATCCCAGCACTTTGGGAGGCCAAGGGAGGCAGATCACAAGGTCAGGGGTTTGACAGCAGCCTGGCCAACATGGTTAAACCCTGTTGCTACTAAAAATACAAAAATTAGCTGGGCGTGGTGGCAGGTGCCAGTAATCCCACCTACTTGGGAGGCTGAGGCAGGAAAATAGGTTGAACCCAGGAAGCAGGGGTTGCAGGGAGCTGAGATCACGCCACTGCACTCCAGCCTGGGCAACAGCATGAGACTCTGTCGCAAAAAATAAAATAAAAACAACAACGAAGAATATGGGGAAGAAAATGTACCTTCCTAGATCAAAAGTCTTCCACACACTCTACTTGAGGTCAAAAATCAAACCCATGCAGAATCTTCAAAGAACTACAGGCTGACCTAAAACATATTTTTTGCTACAACCAATTAGAATACTTGTCCTAGGCCAGGCGCAGTGGCTCACACCTGTAATTCCAGCACTTAGGGAGGCCAAGGCAGGAGGAGCAGGAGTCAGGAGTTTGAGACCAGCCTGACCAATATAGTGAAACCCTGTCTCTATTTAAAATACAAAAACGATGGTGTACACCTGTAGTCCTAAGTGCTCGGGAGGCTGAGGCAGAAGAATTGCTTGAACCCAGAAGGTGGAGGTTGCAGGCCAAGATCGCGCCACTGCACTCTACCCTGGGCAACAGAGCGAGACTCCATCTCCATACAAAACAAAACAAAACAAAAGAATACTTGCTACTTGCCCTATTTAGCTGTGAATATCTCACTATAAATGACTTTACAAAAAAAATCTAGTAACTTTGCAGACAGAATTTTACAAGAGTGAAATTTGTTCTGTAATATACAATCCTACCAAATGAACAGGGAGGGCATCAGGGATTTCTGCCGGTTAAAGAGTGGAGGACTGAGCCAGGAGAATGGTTCATGCCTGTAGTCCCAGCTCCTCAAGAAGCTGAGGCAGGAGGATCCCTGGAGCCCAGGAGTTGGAGGCTGCAGTGAGCTGTGACTGCACCATTACACTTCAGCCTGGGCAACACAGAGTGAGACTCTATTGCACGTATGCATGCATGCATACATACATATATACGAGTAGAGGATTACCTGATCTAACTCAGCCACTTGTAGAAAAACAAACTTATGTTAAAACAAAATTCAACTTAAAAACCTTCAGTGCCTACACAGCACTTATGACAAGAGTCTTCTACGAGGTCCTCCAAAATGCACCTACCGTCCCAGCCAGGATGTCATGGGGGCAGCAGTCCAGAAGGTGACTCTTGCAGACACGATCATCTGTAAACTTGACCCTCTGTCTGGTTTCATCTCCTGAAATTCATTTGTGGTTTTAAATAAGACAATATTATCACATTAACCACAAAAAGAACCAATATAACAATTCACCTGAATGATTTGCAGACTATCATTTCTGTGTTCTCCCCATCAAATACAATGAAAAGCTGCTCTAAAAGATATTTACAACTGGAGTGGAATGCACATTTTTTTTTTAGGCTTAGTTACATCATGAAGAATCGCACTTAATGAGATCTGACTCCATCATTGTACCAAAGAAGTCAAGGAGTCAGACGTAAAGGGCTGAGCACCAAAAGGCCATTGGCTCCACGTGTACATGTGGCAATGAGATTCCACAACCCAAGCTAATCAGAGGTCCATGAACCACCAAAGGTGACTTTTAGAGCTGGTAATTTCCACCAACAAAAGCTACTTATTCATCTTTTTGTTATGAACAAATGCAGAGGCAGTGTTTTGCCCAAAATTGAATGAAGAAGAAAGCTTTCAAACGCTATCCAAGACACTTAAATAATCTAAATCTATTCTTCCTATGTCCCTTTTGTCCCCACCCTTAAAAAAGAGAGTTGCTACCTGGGAGTCACTTTTAACAAGACAATACCAAAAAAAGCAAAAAGGAACTAGGTTAGTCAATACACACTGTGAGCTCCAACACATACTGTACCCATCTGCATTCTTCAAGACCTCAGCTGCAGAATTTTATGCCCGCTGTTGAAAAGTGTTAAAGGAAAAGTTTTCTTGCCCACACCTGCAGTAAGGAAGTCGGGGGAATGATACATAAAAGTAAAGGCAAAGTGGTATGTGACAAATTTTAAAAGCCAGTCTCTGTGTACAACACAGAGCTGTGCAACACTAGAGGAATATCTTTTAGGATTTGCAAGCATCCAGGATTAATGTAGTGTCTTTTTATTGAAAATGTTTTCTTTCTAAACTACACTTTTAAAGTTACTCGTGAAAAAAAGCAAACACTTTTTTGTTATAACAGCTTAGAAATTGGTTGTGACTCACGGCTCGATGAACATGAGGCTTTCTGCAACTCCCTTGCAGATTGATGTAGGCAGGCAAAGATACACTGAACCTTTATGAATAAAATAGAGGGGCCACAATTGTTCAGTTTGTATGAAATAAAAATATGGGAAGCAATTCAAAAGCAACTCAATATACAAAGAAAGCTAAAAAGCACTTATTCACCTATGAAATAAAGTGGAAATAATCTGCACAGCCCTGAGAATGTGCCAGTGTGAACTTACAACTTCATTACTTCAGTAGAAAAGAAAACACAAACCACAGCAGGTACATAGCTTTGCAAAGATGCCATCGCTTGCTCCTGTGACAACCACCACGCTCGTGAGCGCCTCCCTACACAGTACAACCTACCTAACGGCTGCCAAGAACTGGCTACACAGAGGCTCGCCTGCGTGCTGGGGAAGGGGCGGCTGGAGAAGTGCTCGGCAGAACCCGTGAGAAAAGCTCGGTTTACGGCCCCCTTGCAACGGTACAGAACCAGAACGGGCCAGGGTTTCCAGCCCCATCCGGCTCCCTCGGGTGCAGCTTCTTCCCAAGGAGCCTCGGAGGAGTTCTGCCACCCGACCGCCAGCGACCTGGAGCCCACGCTGATTCCAGCCCTCCGCCGGCTCCACGGTTCGCGGAGGGGCAGAGCCGCGGCACCCGCCGGGGAAGAAGTCGCCGGACTGCAAACAGGAAGGAGGCTGAAGCCCCATCCATGGCGCAGACTCCGAGAGAGGAGCCCGACCCGGACCCACAGCCGGCTGAGAAACAACCCGCCTGCGGCCGCCTCAGAGGCGAACCGGCTCAGACAAAGGCCCGGCGCCGGCGGTCGGCGCGCGGGGAGGAGGAGGGTGCCCGGCGCAGGCGCAGGCGCAGACGATGGCGGCCCCCGCCTCAGGCCGCCCGGCGGCCTCGCCTCACTCCCACCCCAGCCCGTCGCCTGGTCGGCCGCTCCGACTCACCGTCCCGAGCCGTGCCCATGAGCTGGTCCAGCAGGGCCCGCATCTGCGCCTGGGCGGACATGGTAGCGGGCAGGGGCGATGGGAGCGGCCGCGACGGCTTGTCTCAGGGCGGCGGCGGCGACGGCGGCGGTGGCGACGAAAGATGGTCGCGTCGGCCTCGAGCCCACTCGGCTCTTTCCCGCCGCGGGGGACGCCGGGAGGAAGTACGTCGGCTCCGGCGCACGGCCAGCTGGGAAATGTAGTTTCCGGGGTGGGTGTTTGGGGAGGTTGAGGCTCGGAGTAGTCCGCTCAAGTTGTCCAACGGCGGAACCAAAATCCCAAACCTGGCCTGGCGCGGTGGCTCAAGCCTGTAATCCCAGCACTTTGGGAGGCCGAGGCGGGTGGATCACGAGGTCAAGAGATCGAGACCATCCTGGTCAACATGGTGAAACCCCGTCTCTACTAAAAATACAAAACATTAGCTGGGCATGGTGGTGCGTGCCTGTAATCCCAGCTACTCAGGAGGCTGAGGCAGGAGAATTGCCTGAACCCAGGAGGCGGAGGTTGCGGTGAGCCGAGATCGCGCCATTGCACTCCAGCCTGGGTAACATGAGTGAAACCCCGTCCCGTCGTGTAAAAAAAAAAAAAAAATCCCAAACCTGATTTTTACTCTAGAGCCCCAGGATCTCAAACGATTCTCTACGGAGGCAAAACTGCATACAATGAAATGCAGTCAATCAAAAACAAGATAAATCCTTGCTTTTTCTAAACTAGCCATGAAACCACGAGCACATTTAGCTCCCCGACACTTGGTTTTTTAAATCTGTGAAATGAGGATTCTGAGAGTGCCCCTCATATGTTTTTTGTGAAAGTTAAATAAAGCATGGAATTTTATTATTAATTTTTTATTTTTATTTTTTTTAGCGAGGGTTTTGCTCTGTCGCCCAGGCTGTAGTGCAGTGGGGCGACCACCATTCACTGCAGCCTCGACCTCCCCGGCTCCTTATCATCCCTCTTTAGCCCCCCAGAGTGTCTGGATTATAGCTGTGAGCCACTGTGCCTGGCCATCAGTCATGGCATTAATATTAGGTTCTATGATTACAACCTCGAGGTCGTTCCTCTGTGAGCTCCTGGTCTACCATCCCAGGGGCTAAAAAAAGGCATATGCAAGCAATTACTTTATGTGGTAATAGAATTATAGCATGCACTTATATGTGCATTGTCTGGCGTATACTTCCATTATATTAAACCTTTATTACAAGCAGGGCTTCGTGGCTCATGCCTGTAATCCCAGCACTTTGGGAGGCTGAGGCAGGCGGACCACCTGAGGTCAAGTGTTTGAGAGCAGCCTGGTAGTCCCAGTTACTGGGGAGGCTGAGGAAGGAGAATCACTTGAACCCGGGAGGTGGAGGTTGCAGTGAGCCGAGATCACACCATTGCACTCCAGTATGGGCCACAAGAATGAAACTCCCTCTAAAAAAAAAAAGACAAGTTTTGTTTTCTTTTCTTTTGTTTGAGACAGGGTCTTGCTCTGTCACACAGGTTGTAGTGCAGTGGCACAATCTCAGCTCAGTGCAGCTTCTGCCTCCCAGGTTCACTTGATTCTCCCACCTCAGCCTCCCAAGTAGTTGGGACTATGGGTGCCTGCCACCACGCCTGGCTAATTTTTGTTGGCCAGGCTGCTCTCAAACTGATAGGCTTAAGTGATCCAACCCCTTTGGCCTCCGAAAGTGCTGGGATTACAGGCTTGAGCCACCGCACCTGGCCTGTAGGACAAGTTTCTATTCTTGACTTTTTTTCCGAGTTGGAGGTTTGCCCATGTAGCCCATGCTGGAGTGCAATAGCGTGATCTCCACTGTCGGCAATCCCCACCTCCCGGGTTCCAGCAATTCTTCTGCCTCAGCCTTCTCAAGAGCTGGGATTATAAGCATCAGCCACTGGGCCTGGGCAACAAGTTTTAAATAATGTTCTGAGGCATGACTTTGCTTCCAAATGGCCATTTGAACAAGGGAATTAAACCATCTGAATTACATACTTACTAAACTGCCACGGTTATTAGAAATCAGACAACTGCCAGGCACAGTGGTTCATGCTTGGAATCCCAGCACTTTGGGAGGCCAAAGCAGGAGATCACTTGAGCCCAGGAGTTTAAGACCAGCCTGGGTAACATAGCAAAAACCCATCTCTACAAAAAAGTAAAAAAAACTAGCTGAGCATGATGGCTTACACCTGCAGTCCTAGCTACTCTGGAGACTGAAGTGAGAGGATCATTTGTGGCTGGGAGGCAGAGGTTGCAGTAAGCTGCGATAACGCCCCTGCGCTTGAGCCTGCGTGACAGAGGAAAACCCCATCTTTTTTTTTTTTTTTTTTTTTTGAGGGAATCTCACTCTATTGTCCAGGCTGAAGTGCAGTGGCACAATCTTGGCTCACTGCAACCTCTGCTGCCCGGGGTTCAAGCAATTATCCTGCCTCAGTCTCCCGAGTAGCTAGGACTACAGGTGCCCACCACCATGCCCAGCTAATTTCTGTATTTTTTAGTAGAGACAGCGTTTCACCATGTTGGCCAGGATGGTTTCCATCTACTGACCTTGTGATCTGCCCACCTCAGCCTCTCAAAGTGCAGGGATTATAAGCGTGAGCCACCTCCCCCAGCCTAATTTTGTGTTTGTACTAGAGATGAGTTTTTTTTCATGTTGGGCAGGCTGGTCTCAAACTCCCAACCTCAGGTGATCCGCCCACCTTGGCCTCCCCAAGTGCTGGGATTATAGAAGTGAGCCACTGCACCTGGCCTTTTTTTTTTTTTTTTTTTTTTCCTGAAATGGAGTCTTGCTCTGTTGCCCAGGCTGGAATGCAGTGGCATGATCTCGGCTCTGAGCTCAAGCAGTTCTCTGGTCTCAGCCTCCCGAATAGCTGGGATTGCAGGCCCGCGCCACCATGCCCGGCTAATTTTTGTATTTTTAGTAGAGACGTGGTTTTACCATGCTGGCCAGTCTGGTCTCAAACTCCTGACCTCATGATCTGCCCGCCTCGGCCTTCCAAAGTGTTGGGATTACAGGCATGAGCTACTGCGCCCAGCCAAAATTATTATTATTTTTAATAAATGGAGATTGGAATCTCACTATGTTGCCCAGGGTGGTCTCAAATTTCTAAGGTCAAGCAATCTCCTGCCTTGGCCTCCCAAAGTGCTCGGATTACAGGTGTACATCACCATGCCCAGCTAATTTTTGTCTTTTCAGTTGAGAAGAGGTTTTGCCATGTTGGCCAGGCTGGTCTCTGACTCCTGAGTTCTAGTGATTCACCTGCCTCGGCCTCCCAAAGTGTTGAGATTACAGACGAGAGCCACTATGCCTGGTCACAGAGTAATTTTTTTTCGAGTTTGTCTCTCCCATAGTGTTTGACTGCTGATGTCTCTGCTCATTTGTTAGGCTTTGTGTGGTTTTTAAATTTTTACTTTTGGGTCTGGCTTCCAAGGGGTCATTCCTGGTGTTGTATTTGACCGGAGCGTAGAAAGTTATCACAAGACAAAAGTATGCCAGATTGCAGGGTCATTTATTATGCCGGCGACCACAGAGGACTCACGTCTCTCCAACCTGTGGTGCCAAAAGGAGGGTGCCATGATTTTTTATACCCGAAAAACCACCTTGGGAGTGGGGGTGAGGGGCGGGGATGGGACATTTCAAGGGCTACGGGATTCTGTGATTCACCTCCTGGGTGGAGACAAGGGCGGGGGTCTCCGGACATTCCAAGGGCTAGGGGATTCTGTGATTCACCTCAGTGGTTTACAGAAGTAAAGATATACATTTGTTTACACATCACAGATTTTAGCAGTTACTGATAAGAAAAGGTAAGCAGCTTTACATAGTTTTGAAGAACAAACTACCAGTTCTATTTACAGAGGCCAAGGACAGTAGTTATTGTAAGGAGAATGGGGCAGCCATTTCAACTTATCTAAAAACAGTTTTGCATTTTATAAAATAGTTTTGCTCCGGTTCTGGCTCTAGGCCAGCACAATATCACACTGGGTCAGCCTAGTCTGCTGGTCAACCAATGATTATTTAGATTTTGGGCTCAAACACCTTAAAACACTAAGGTTTACAACCTTGCAGAATGATTTGTGTATGGAATAGGAAGTACATTAACATTTTTTTTTTTTTTTTTTTTTTTTTTTTGAGACGGAGTTTCACTCATGCTACCCAGGCTGGAGTGCAATGGCACGATCTCGGCTCACCGCAACCTCCGCCTCCTGGGTTCAGGCAATTCTTCTGCCTCAGCCTCCTGAGTAGCTGGGATTACAGGCACGCGCCACCATGCCCAGCTAATGTTTTGTATTTTTAGTAGAGACGGGGTTTCACCATGTTGACCAGGATGGTCTTGATCTCTTGACCTCGTGATCCACCCGCCTCGGCCTCCCAAAGTGCTGGGATTACAGGCTTGAGCCACCGCGCCCGGCCACATTAACATTTTAAGCTGTTTACAAGTCAGCCCCAGCTTTTTCTTTCCACTGGGCCTTCTCTTGGATGAACTTTTCCAGGTGCAACTCTAGTTGATGCAGAGACCTGTCAATTAACAAAACAAATTACCTTTCCTCCACACAGTGAAGATAAATTGGATAACTTAAAATACATACTCTCTAGGCCGGGCGCACTGGCTCAAGCCTGTAATCCCAGCACTTTGGGAGGCTGAGGCGGGTGGATCACAAGGTCAAGAGATTGAGACCATCCTGGTCAACATGGTGAAACCCCGTCTCTACTAAAAATACAAAAAATTAGCTGGGCATGGTGGCGCGTGCCTGTAATCCCAGCTACTCAGGAGGCTGAGGCAGGAGAATTGCCTGAACCCAGGAGACGGAGGTTGCGGTGAGCCGAGATTGCGCCATTGCACTCCAGCCTGGGTAACAAGAGCGAAACTCCGTCTCAAAAAAAAAAAATAAATAAAATAAAATACATACTCTCACCCAAAAATGGGGAAGATGGCCGAGCATGATGGCTCTTGCCTGTAATTCCAGCACTTTGAGAGCCCCAGGCAGGCGGATCACTTGAGCTCAGGAGTTTGAGATCAACCTGGGCAACACAGTGAGACCCTGTCTCCAAAAAAGCCGGAAAAATTCAGCTGGGCGTGGTGGAGCCCACCTGTAGTTCCAGCTACTCGGGAGTGGAGGCAAGAGGCTTTCTTTTTTTTTTTTTTTTTTCTTTTTTTTTTTGAGGCGGGGTTTCACTTTTTTTTCCCAGG